TCTCAGTTACTGGTCAGCCATATTAATGGCACTTACGAAGTTAAGGAACCACGATTGTTACCTTATTTCGATCTCGTCAAGAAGAAGCTATCACGGTTCAAAATGACGTTAGAACATATACCTCGGTCATCTAATATTCAAGCAGATGCTCTTTCGCGTTTGGCCTCTTCAACCGATTTGAACAATGTCAAGTTTGTGCAAATTACTCAACAGACGACCTCCTCAACAGTCTCTACTGACGTCGTCATGATCGACGCTGCCTCGCTAATCCCAGACCCGACATGGATGGATCCAATCATCAACTACCTTCAAACCGGGACCGTACCTGAAGACCCAAAAGAAGCTCGCACTCTTCGTGTTCGTGTTGCTAATTTCACAATTGATCAAGAAACATTATATAAGCGTGGGTATTCTATTCCATTGCTCAAGTGCTTGTCGGAAATTGACGCCCGACGTGTTCTTCAAGAAGTACATGAAGGAATCTGCGGTACTCATCAAGGAGCACAAGCCTTGTCCCATAAGATTCTCCGACAAGGCTACTATTGGCCGACTATTAGAAAAGATGCCGCAGACTGGGTGCGAAAATGTCACAAGTGTCAGATATTTGCTCCCAACGTTAATCAACATCCTGAACTTCTCAAGTCAATATATAGCCCGTGCCCGTTCACAAAATGGGGAATTGATTTGATTGGCCTACTTCCGACAGCAAAAGGAGGTGTTCGGTTTGCAATATTAGCTGCTGATTACTTCACTAAATGGATTGAGGCCGAACCTCTTGCAACCATCACTGAACAAAAGATAATCGATTTTGTGTGGAAATCAATCATTTGCCAGTTTGGAATACCGAACTCCATCATAACCGACAACGGTCGTCAGTTTGAAGGGAAACGATTTGAAAGCTTTTGTGAAGATTACGGCATCAAACACTTCTTCTCGTCACCTTATCATCCACAAGCCAATGGACAGATAAAAGCTGTAAATAAGATTATCAAGAATGGTCTGAAAACTCGGCTTGAGTCTGCAAAGGGATCCTGGCCTGATGAGTTACCTTATGTCCTCTGGTCTTACCGGACGACGACACGAAACTCAACTGGAGAAACTCCATTCTCACTAGCATACAGAGCTGAAGCTGTGATACCGGTTGAGCTGGCTTTTCCAACATATCGGATTACTCATTTTTCCGAAGAAACCAACTCGGTAAACTTGAAAGCCAATCTCGATTTGGTTGATGAATTACGGGTTGATGATGAAATTCGAAATGCCGTTTATAAACGACGTAGTGAGAAGTACATCAATTCAAGACTCAAGCCACGCTCATTTGTCGTAGGAGACCTTGTGCTGAAGAGAATCACCGGGGCCAATGTCGGTCCGTTACAACCGAAGTGGGAAGGACCTTTTAAAGTGAATTGTCTGATTTCTAATGGTACCTACCGACTTGAAACTCTAGATGGCATTCCCCTTTAGTATCCTTGGCATGCAACTTATCTCAAGAAGTACTACCAGTAAAACCTGAAAGCCGGACCTTTGTTTCCGATGTATAAAAACCTTTTGATCAACTCATGTACGAGAATCACGTTTTGTTATCAATAAAGTTTGTGTGACGAACCACTATAATTTGTTCGATCAGTCGGACCACAATAAATTGGTCCTCGTTGCTAAGGCTAAACGTATTTCATACCCTGAAGTTGGTATGACCTAGCGAAACGCGACAAAGCCGGATACTTCCAAGCCCTGAAGATGGTTTGGGGAGGCTTATGCTCTATAATATCAAATCTCGACGTTGATTTGATGAGCTCACAATAAATGTTTGCAATAAAAGCAAGTTTTTTACAACTTGTTCTGATAAAGAGTTTGTAGATGTCGGATATACTATAAATTATGCCGACACCAAAAATTTAAACAAACTCATAACGAGGCAAAGTGTTAATGCCAAGTATCACGTCGGAGTAATTGTAAGCATAATTTACTCAACATTCATTTATCTTTGCTCCGACATGTTTTGACTTGTTACAATAAATATGTCAAAACTATACATTCATAAAACACGAATTTAAAACGTCAAATTTCATTCATAATAAGAAATTGTCATTACATTCCAATCAAGAAAAAGAAAATAAAAACAAACAACCAATATGAGATCTCATTCATCTTTATTCGTTCCCGATGACGACGCCCCTCCAGTTGTTGAAGATTGAGGATTCCCGGCCTCAACTTTGCCTTTATCTGCAGCATCCAGATGATCTATCAACCTCTGGCTTAAGCGTTGAATCACCTCCTCTTCCTTCTCCTCCAATGCTCGGACAACATCGCTCTCTTTTATGATGACGACATCATCATCCTCGTGCAAAACACGATCGTCGTCGGAGGGGACTGGTTCAACCACCCATCCTTTGGCCTTGGCGTCGTCCTCTGCCACCTTTCGTAAAGCAAAACTAGTAATTGCGCCTAGGAGCTCTTCATCAGATAGGCCTTCGAGTGTCTCGACGACAAAGGCCTCAGCGATCGTCTCCACGCAGATATTTGCCATTTCAGGTTTCTTGACCTTCTCCACCTCAAGGACCATATCAACAAACGCCCGACAAATTTTAGCCTTGCGCTCCTCTGACAAAGGCACCATATCCAATTCCAGCATCCGACTCTCCTTCTGCTTTAGAAGTCGGTCGGCGAAATCCCGCTCATCTTGATCCGCT